AGTCTCTGAATGGTGTCTTGGAAGGGGTGCCATCTAGGGATTCCCTTGTTCTACTAAGTGGCTTCAATGCCCATGTCAGAAAGGACTTTCGGTCAGTCTCTAGGAAGTTCTGTCAAAACAGTTTGATGATTCAGAAAAGCAAAGTGGACCCTATCCCAAGCTGTTTGAGTGGGGAACTGCTGATCTGAAGTGAGAATAATGTTGAACAGTGAAAGGAGATCTTTGAGGATCTCTTTAATCCACCCACCATGTCCACCTTTAAAGAGGCAGATGAGGACTCTGGAGAAGACAAGTCCATTACCATGGCAGACGCCACTGACCAAGTCATAAAGTTATTCAGTGGCAAGGCACCAGGGGTGGATAAGATTCTCCCCAAGATACTGAAGACTCTGGATGTTGTGGGACTGTCATGATTGACATGGATCTTAAATGTCACATGAAGGACTGGGACAACACCTGTGGAATGGCAGACAAGTGTGGTGGTTCCCATTTTTAAAAAGGGGTACCGGAGAGTGTGTTCAAACTACTGTGGGATCACACTTCTCACACTCCCCAGGAAAGTTTACTCCAAGGTGTTGGAAGGGAGGCTCTTACCCATTGTCGAACACCGGCTTCAAGAGGAGCAGTGTGACTTCCATCCTGGTTGTGAAACAGTGGACCAGCTCTTTACCCTTGCAGAGTTGCTAAGTAGTTCGTGGGTTTGATACATGTGCTTTGTGGCTCTGGAGAAGCCTTAAGACCATGTTCCTCAGTCATTCTGTGGGGTGTGCTGCGGGAGTATAGGATTTCTTTTAAGAGCTATCCAGTCCCTGTATAACCAAAGCAGGAACTGTGTCCACATTCTTGGCACAAAGTCAAGCTCATTGTCAGTGCAGGTTAAACATACTTCACGAGGGCTGTCCTTTGTCTTTGGTCCTGTTTGTGGTTTTCATGGACAGGATCTTGAGTCACAGTCGTGGAAAGGAGGGTGACTGGTTTGGGAACCTCAGAGTCTTATTTCTGATTTTCATGTTTGTGGATAATGTGGTTCTGTTGGTCTCTGTAAACCAAAACCTTCAGCGTGCACTGGGGTGGTTCACAGTCAAGTGTGAATTAGCTGGAATGAGAATCACTTCCTCTAAGTCTGAGGCCATGGTTTTCAACTGAAAATGGGTGGAATGCCACCTCTGGGTCAAGAGTGGTGACTTTGCCTTAGGTGGAGGAATTCAAGTATCTGGGTGCCATGTCCACGAGTGATGGTAGGATGGAGTTGAGGTGATTTGGGCATCTGATTAAGATGCCTACTGGATGCCTCCAGTTAGAGGTTTTACAGGCATGTCCCACTGGTATGAGACCCAAGTCACTGGAGGGATGTTGCATCTTCTCTGGCCTGAGAATGTCACAAGATCTCCCAGAACAAGCTGGAACGTGTCGCTAAGGAGAGGGATGTCTTGGTTTCTCTCCTGGATCTATAGCCTCCGCAATCCAACTACGGATAAGCGGTAGTAGATGGATGGACAGAAGCTGTCATTTTTTCTTATCTGTTTCACAGAGGAAAACTAAATTATAGAACCAGATGCTTTTTGTTTGTTTGTTGTTTTGTTTTTTGGTTGCTTTTTTGCATGATGGAAAAATTCAGTGGTTTTAACAATGATCTTTATTAACTGTAGTATACCCTGAAACTGGTAATTGTCCATGCGTAGTTGGAAATGACTCTCAGCTACTACCTCATCAAATTTTAGCACAATATCTGTAATAGTGAGTGAATAAGAGCCATTTTTACGCTTGCTATGGTTGATTAGCTATAGTTGCCATCATGAGTCAGGTTGACTTTGAACGTTATTCTGATGTAAATGTATATCCAATTATTATTAACCTTTATTTAACCAGGCGAATGCCATTAAGATCAGAGATCTCTTTTGCAAGGGAGGCCTGGGCCTGAAGGCAGTCTAACATGCATGGTTTTCATCTGTGGGAGGAAACTGGGGTACCCAGAGAAAACCTATGCAAGCATGAGAAGAATATGCAAATTCCACACAGAAAGACCCAGGTCCAACCAGGGATTGAACCCAGAACCTGCTTGCTGTGAGGCAACAGTTCTAACCACTGAGCCTATCCATTGATTACTTTCTGAGTTTCATTAAATTACCTGCAGTAATTTACAAGATATTTTGATATCAGATGAACAAACACACAGACGAAGCAAATACATGATTGCCCACTGCCATGATAGTACTAAAGTGAAGAACAGTAAAGAAGATAATAAAGAGCATGTTTTCATGGGCCATGACTCGAGTTATTGAACAATAAAGGAGCAAAGCAAGACCTATGAAGAGTAAACTTGATTTGAAATTATATTGTTTAAATAAACACTGAGAAGGGTGAACAGCTTGGTGAAGTTATTACAAAGCACTCAATGTGTGTGTGTGTTTGCATGTGATATATGGAGAAAGATTAAGTCAAGTGTGTGGCTTTGCCACTAATTTACTGCCTTGACTCTACTCATGGAAGACACACACTGGGATTTGGCCATCATGTCACCATCATGAGCTCAGTGGGCATAAGTGTAGAGAAACAGGATTAATTTTTCACAGAAAAACAAGGAAGAAAAAAGAAAAGAGGGAGATTACCTCACTCTGAAACAGAAACAAAAGGATAGCATGATTTAGTTTAAACTATTAAACCTGGCTTGTGATCCAACCATGGAGATGATTATTTAGAGGAAACAGAAATATGTTGTTTTTTGATGACAGGATTAAGTGGTAATGCTCAAGTGAAATACAGCACTTCAGTTGACCCTGTGGAATAAATAACAAGAATCATCACATTAATATAAGGTTAGGGTAAAAAGCTAAGCTTGATGTGTTTTGCAAAGGAAAAATAATGCCTTTTAGAAATGGTCACTGATCATAAATCCTAAAGTAACGGCTTTGATATTAAAAGTAAAACAACCAGATATTAAAACTAATTATTATGACACTAAGAAGAACAGTCTCAGCAGATGGACCACTGGAATTCAAAACTCCTCATTGAATTATTTAAGCAGAAATGTAGTAAAATGCATTGCACTTATAAGGTTGTAATATTTAATCTGAGGACAAAAAAGGCACATTATTCTCTATCATTTGTTCAAAGGCTTATTGCGAAATGAAGCTTTGATTTGAAATTTTCTGCAGATATAAAATATTTGAAAAGTAGATTAAGTAAACCCGTAGCATGGTGGATCAGTTAGTAGAGCTGTTGCCTCTCAGGAAGAAGGTCACTGGGTCAAATCCCATCAGGGGACCTTTGTGGGTGGAGTTTGCATGTTCTCTCCGTGGGTTTTCTCCGGGTACTCCGGCTTCCTCCCACATACCAAAAACATGCATGTTAGGCTGATTGGTAACTCTAAATTATCCCTTGGTGTGAGTGAGAGAGTGAATGGTTGTCTGTCTCGTTTGCCTCTATATGGCCCTGTGATGGACTGGAGACCTGTCCAGGGTGTACCCTACCTCTCAAACCAACAAGAATACCACATGCGGCACATTGTACACCTGTCAACAAACTATTATACAGCAATACAGCAATTTATAGCAATGGCCCGGTAAAGCAAAGATCTGGAATGATATTTTTGCCTTGATTTGTGACCTTGGACTAAGAGCTGAAATTATGAAAAGATTAGGCAGCACACCATGTAGTGGTGGTACAAACTCAAAGCAATATTTGTAAAGTTATCTTGAATGGATCAGAAGTTATGGGGAGGACAAGCAAAGACCTTGTTTTTAACTTTGACCTTGATTTTTACCTTGACCTTGGAGCTGGAGTGATGAAAACATATACCACACTCCATCTAGTGATCATGCATATGTGTATGATGTTTCATTAAAATCTTTCTAGCAGAACAGAAGTTATTGGGGGGTCAAGCATAAGTGTATGGGCTTATTAACGGAGACTATGTCGTAATATGTCCACATTTTGATGGGAGTGCTAAAAGCACTGCTGTCATCTGAAAACTACTTTGATCTGAAATAAATATATAAAGTAACGGCGATTCATGTAAATGCTTTTTATTATCATTTGCATTACATCTCGTGCCTTTATGCTGCTGTATTCATACCCATCTGTTCACTACAGACTCATGTTTGGGCTACTGTTTAAGGTACTGCATTATTTTACATTATTTTTGTTTTTCCTATATCTTGTATCTTTTAGTGTTACCTTTAGTGTTCGTTTAGCATATAGCTTAGTGTATCCTTATGTACCGTTTCTTTTATACTTTTTTTTATTTTGCTAACTTGGGTGTAACTGGGACCTTGAGTACACAATTTCATTCCACCTAATGTACCACATGTGATGCGAATGACAATAAAGAACCTTGAACCTTGAACATGACATTTCTGGAAGAAATATGATTTTTCTCCAAAAAGTGGCTTCTGGATTCACTGGAAATGCTACAGCTAGCTGCTTCTCCTCCTATTCAAGGATGCAGATGATCTTGGCCTTACTCAGACAACAAATTCCACCTCAAAAGATTGGACCTATTTCTTTAATTAAACACATGTTCCACAGATTTACCATAACTATAGATCTAACAATGTTGTCAGGTCCTCTGGACGGATTAGTTTTTGTTGAAACGTTTCGTCTTCAATCCAAACGACTCCTTCAGTCAGTATGTGCTAAAGATGAAATGTTTCAACAAATAAGAATTTGTCCAGAGAATATGATCTATCTACCTGGATTATTGAGCATGCATCAGGACATAACTATAAATGTTTACTTTTTTTAACATTTTAAGTGTATAAAAACACATCATAGTTCAAATGAAAGCCTCTAACTCAAGGTAAATGGTACTGTACTTGTATAGCCTTTATTTATCTTATTAAGATTCTCAAAGCACTTTACATTACAATCTATGCTCTCATTTACCCATTCATACAGCACTCTACTATATCTTTACAAAGAATAATCAGGGATAAAGGTGACCTAGACCAAGACAGAAACAAGTTTTGATCTATAATATTTGTAAAAAAGTGTTTTCCTACCTTTCCCATGGTTGACTTCAACAGTCCAGGTACAATTTAAAGAGTTTGGATACAGCTCTGGGAAGCCTGGTGACAAGATGATCCCAGATGGTCCTTGGATATCCCCACCACATGATGCTAAATAGAGCAGGAAGATAACGAATGATAAGTGATGCTAAAAAGAAAAAGAAAACTGAAAATGAACCAATAAATCCTTCACTTGAAGACAAAGGAGCAATTTCAATGAATAATGCATTTGAGGCATATCACATCCTCTCTTGATATTTTTATGAGCACCTGTACTTCTGCCAACATAATGTTTCTTTCCTCTCCTTCTCCCTAAACCAGCCTCCCTTCTCCACAGGACACTAAATCATTCATTAGTTCAGTTATACATCCAGCTCTTTTTACTCTCATGGTATCTTACACTAAAACAAGAGTACTGCCTACAGTACATTATACAGCCATTACTAAACTATTACACAGCAATACAACAATCTATAGCAATAGCCTGGACAAGGAAAATACCTTATATAAAGTTTGACCTTGATTTATGACCTTAATCTTAGAACTGGGGTGATGAAAATATTATGTGACATTCTGTTGAGTGGTGTTGTATACGTGTATGGAGAGTTTTCAATTATCTTGGGAGGATCTGAAGATATGGCCTAAACAAGAGAAAGTTTATGGATGGACAAAGACTGTACCACAATACATCTGGCTTTCAGAGGTCATATAAAAACTGTCAAAAAAACTTTAAAACTATTACGTCTACCCACATTTCACAATCCCACTTCAAAATTATAAAGCTGACAAGTGTTTTTTTTTTTTTTAAGATTATACCATTTGAATGTTCACCATAACTCTAGAGTATTTTCTTCCAAATGGACAAATATATATATATTTGTTTTTTAATCCGGGCTGGGTTCATGATCCAGCTGTGACTCCTCCATATGGAGCCGTTAAAGATGAGAAGATATGAAACGCCGTCAAAACGAACAGTGCTCCTGTCACTGCAGTAATGTGACTTGTTGGCTGCTGACGAGCACCAGGAGGTGAATGCCTGAATTTGTCTGAAGGTTAGGTGGTGTACTTGGATATTTTTTGTACCTGCAAATGTTTTCTCAAGTCATTTTCTAGATTTAAAGAATTAGGTCATTTCACATTAGGACCATCCATCCATCCATCCATCCATCCATCCATCCATCCATCCATCCATCCATTATCTTTACCTTCTTCCTTGTCAAATATAAAACCTATAAAATGGGACAAGATTTGTATTTTTCTTTTCCTGCTTTTGAGTGCTTTTTCTTTAGCTGAGGGACTTTATAAACTGCTACAGTATCTGCAATAAATGTGTATACATGTTATCAAAGTATTAAACATCAGCTGATGTTTTGGAGGATAGGACGCCTCAGGCTCCACAGATGCACCCCCCACCGCTCCCTCTTATCCTCTTTGCTTCCACCCTTGGGCCTTCCAGCAATCACAACCCATCCAGGCCTGAATCTTTACCCACCAACAAAAATTATATCAAATATTTTATTAATGAGCCAACATTACATAAAGCCATTAAAAGTTTATGATCATGCTTGGCAAATGATTACTTCAGAAGCTCCGTAGGCAGCAAGCTTTTTGGTAAAACATCACCATACACCTGGAAAAAAAACAAAAATTCAAAATATAAAATGAATGTATTATATGCATGATGACAGTTAGCCAGTGCTCAATCTTGCAGGGTTTTTAGTCATTTAGTCAAAATCTAGTAGTGTATGACGAAATTTAAAGCTAGCATTCTTTAAAGAAATTCATACTACTGTATTTTTTGCCATATAAGTCACAGCTTTTGCATAAATTTGCAAGTCCTGTGACATATACACAGAAACGACTAATAAACGTTTTTGCCTCCCATTTTTATAATCCAATTTTTGGCTGAGCTCTGATGATTTAATTCATTCTGACATGGAAAATATTGAACACAACCATTTTCAGCCATTAGAGGGCGCTCGACTATAATGTTGAGCAAACAAATAATTGTTTTTAGGTGGTTATCTTGTTAAATTTTGAAAAAGTACAACAGCGAGTCCTCCCGTGCATGCTCCCGCAGCCACTGATCGATTTTTGGTAGTCAATCAATTTTTGGCACGACACCAGCCCACGTTTCCCCGGGGTCAGCGATGATGCATAATAAACGAAATTTGTACACCGAAGTGACTTATATGTTTTTTCCTCTTCATGATGCTTTTGTTGACTGATGCGACTTTTACGTTGGAAAATACGGTATTTGTGTTTTTTCCACTTCATTAGACATTTTTGGACTGGTGCGACATGTACAGTGGAAAGTACAGTACATCCCATGTTGCATGTCAGAGTTTTAAACATCTCACAAAATCTGCCAGATGATGATGCATTTGTGTATGAAGGTTCGTTAAATTATTTTGAGCATATCAGAAGTTATGGGCGGGACAAGAGAAAGTTTTTGTCAGTACATACAGAGACTTTACCAACACATGTCTGCCTTTTAGCATGGATGTAAAAATAAATCAGTGGTTCGTGAGATATTTTGTAAACAAACAAACAAACAAACACTGGAAATTGCCTCCTGACATGGCAGTTGGCAATAAAATCCATCCATTATGGTTTGCACCGATAACTGTCCTTCAGTAAATTTTAAACAAAGCAGAAAAATGTAGAAACATAACTCTGAGTATGAAGCGAATACAAAAATCTAAAATATGTTGAAGGTAAAAAGGGAAATGTAAAACCAATGAAAAGCAAACATGTTGCCTCACAAAACGTATGTGAAATTACTAGATAAATCATTTTGAATAAAAATACAGGCACATATTTATTTGCTTTGTCAATCCTGTTGAGGGCGAGCCACAAAGCTTCCCAGAAGAAAACATGCAGTTGTGTTTCAGACAGACGTCTGTGCTGGAATGCAACATTTTATGTGTTCATACCATCACATGTAGGCAGGGGATGACTCCAGAAGTGGTTCTTTTCACAAACCAGAGGCTCGTCGTGGCTCAGTCTGTATCCTGGGTCGCACTGGAAGGACACCGTGGAGCCAATGGACAGGTCATGGTTCAACCGCACACCGTTCACCGGGATACCAGGATCCATGCAGGAATATGTGTCCAATGTGACCACTAGAGAAAAACAAGAAGCACTAATATTCAGATAAGGTGAAGCAGCTGTCGGATTTTATTCTATTTTTATGATTTATTACAGTTTTATCAGAAAGTGTTCAAAATGTCTAAGAAGTTCCAAAAATGTTTAGTGGCAATTCTCCAGACTGATTTTTGTAATTTATTTTCAGAATGACTAAACATTTAGTTGTGATTGTTTTTGTGCACAAATTGTGCATTCAGTAGAGCACGACTATGAAAACACGATTTATTTTCTAATGTGTAGAATAATAGTTTCTGTAGGACTTTGCTCATTTATAAAATATACGTATCTTTTAGAATACGGTACTGAAGGTCTTCCAGTCATACAGTTTACATTAGACATGAACGTTCAGTTCTGTTTTAATAATAATAAAAACTTAATCTAAAATACTACTATTAGAATGTTTGAAGTAACACTTATCTCAACGAGCTGCTTTGCTCATGGCAAAACGTGACTATAGGACATCACTTAGGATATATTAATGTAACATTCTATCAAATGTTAATGTCAAAGACACTGGTCACATTGTGTTTATATCACTTTACTTTGTTTCACAATTCAGTAACTCTGAACAGGAAGTGTTTTTCTTCTTGTTATCCATCAGGTACATCACCTGGTTTGTGGTTTCTTTTCATTTACCGTCACTAACAACAACCTGAACATAAACACCAACTCAAAACTAAACATAAAACACAAGGACAACACATCTGAACACAGAACCAGAAAAAGTCCACCTATTACTGTCCCAGCATTGCCCAGCATGCAATGCAGCTCACACAGTCTCTTACATACAATGACAACATGCAAATTTAATTATTCAGGCTGAAATTTGACAATAATCCATAGAGCTTATTGTTCCTGGAACAATTGTCATGTAATGAAACAAAAACACAACTTTAATATTAATAGTTATCAACATAAAGTGATATTAAACATTAATTATTTAGAGTAACTACAATTTCTGTGTGGATTTTTGAACTTACAGGCTGCAGCGGAACGCATCACAAGTCTTAACGTGGTCAAAAAATAAATAAATAAATAAAACTTCTGCAAGGCAACCCTGAAGGCTTAGTGTCCTGCATTTTTGTCCCACCCACTATACATCAGTAATCTGATTGGTTAATTCTCCTGCCATTAAACAAATTCATCCAGCATAGACTCTGACTGAGTTCAGCTTTCTCTCCTGACCAATGAGAGCTCCTTCTCTTTCTGCCTGGAGACAAAAATGTAAAATAATCTGATTGGATGACTGTATTTTCATGAATTAAAAGAAGAAGAAAAACAATCTTAATAAACTCCAAAGTAGTTTACAGAAAATAAGAGAAAGTAGAGAGACAGACAGACAGATTGACAGACAGACAGACAGATAGACAGACAGATAGAGAAACTACATTGCAAATATATTTATTTTTAACTATATAATGATAATATATTAATTAATAATATATATTATATATAATTAATTAACATATTGTTATCCATCCATCCATTATCTTTACCCGCTTATTGCATTTTGGGTCACGGGGGTCGCCGGTGCCCATGTCCAGCAGTCACTGTGCGAGGGGCGGGGTACACCCTGGACAGGTCGCAAGTCCATCACAGGGACACATAGAGACAAACGAGACAAACAACCATTCACTCTCTCACTCACACCTAGTGACAATTTAGAGTTACCAATCAGCCTAACATGCATGTTTTAAGTCTGTGGGAGGAAACCGGAGTACCCGGAGAAAACCCACGCATGCACGGAGAGAACATGCAAACTCCACCCAGAAAGGTCCCTGGACCGGGGTTTGAACCAGGGACCTGCTCGCTGAGAGGCAGCAGCTCTACCAGTTGCGCCACCGTGCTGCCTAATATATTGTTAATTATATGTTATTTTTATTTAAATATATATTTATTTTATACAACATAAATATTGAATTAAAGTTGCATATGTAACATTTTGTATATGCTCAATTCTTAGGCCTTCTGTGAAGATGTTGAAGGCCCTGAAGGTTTCCCACTGAGTCTTACACAATCTAACAAAATAAATTCCCAGACCACTGATCCATTTTGACTTTAAGAATGTCATAGTCTGTGTTTTTTCTGTTATTTAGTCCCTTCTGTTCATCCTTTTGGTTGTTTTCTTTGTAAGTCCCTTGTGTTTTGATTCAGCCTGTGAGTTCCCTGTATCAGTTCTCATTTCACCCTGTCAGCATCTCCAGTTGTCACTTAGTCTCACTGACACCTGTCCCCACTTTGTAATCACCCAGGTGCCTCCACTTTCCATTTACCCCTGCTGTATTTATTCAGTCTCAGCATCACCATTCACCTGTTTCCATGTCACAGTTATTGGTGTTTTCTTTGAGTTCTGTCTGGGTATTTGAAAAATGTGTTGCCACATCTTTGTTTAATAAATGACTTCATTTTATTTAAGTTCTTTGTGTAAACTCTGTGTTCTGGGTTTGAAATCTCTGCCAGCTGGGATAAGGAAATTACTTTATATTACTTGCACAAAACAGAAAATACAAATGCTCAAAATGAGTTTCCAAAACCCAGTGACAAAAGTTCTTACAAGGTGTGCTTGTTCTGACTGCTTCAGTAGAGCTGTTGCTTATTGTGCTTTCAAACAATGGTGTTCATGCTCAAACACAGTATCTTTTCATAGATTAGCAACAAGCCAACAAGAAACTGGATCAAAGTTTGATGCTACACGTTCTGCTACAGAGCTGCTGGTTCATTAGGAAAAATAAACCGAGTGTTTGAACTTGTAAAATCTGTGCAAACACACCCCCTCCTGTTCATTTAAAGAGTTCAAACACAACTTCTGCCTTTCATAAAAAGTACTTCTGGTTTAAATGTCAGCTGGAAGGAGATGCCCTCGTTTTTCCCTGTGATTTCCAGGCCTGCCATTTGGATTTCTCCCAAGTAGGTTTGCTTTTGATGCAACTAAAAATATGCTGATTTGAGGCAGAAGTTGTGTAAGCAGTTGTCAGGTCAGGGGTGGGTAGATTATTTTAAGAAAACACTTTTAAGACAGTAATTTTCATCTCAAACATTTACAAATATTAAATCACTGAGGAAAACAAGCATCCTTTTGTCACATTCTGGTTGTTGTCCAGAGTTGTGAGCGTTTTAGATGACCGACCCAAATAAAGCATTTTGATTTGTTGGTAAGGATTCTGTTCACTATTTGTAATCAGAGTAACTGAGTTCACATTGAGGTGTATTTACAGTTGCAGCCAACATATGTAACATTACACCAGCCCGAGTCCTGTTGCATCACATTGCATCATGTTTAATAAATATGGGACAATCTAAAAAAGTTTATTCTAAAATATATTTTCTCCTCCACTTAGGAAATGTTTTTCTACACAACCTGTAGACAATATGTGGAGGTATCGAACACGATGTTGGTGTTAAAATTACTGATATATTTATGAATCGTGCAGCAGATGAAATATTCCTGTTTGATAACAGCAAGCTTCAAAAACATTTTTAACTTTGAGTAAAACATTTTCTAAAGGGACTAGATGTTAGTAAGACTCTAGGGTGCAGAAATCTGGTGGAAAAAGAAAAATAAAGACCTCCATTTATTTCCATACCAAAGGAGTCCTTCAGGTTTGTTACTCTGTAACGTGTACTTTATGTTTTCTTCTGAAATGAATGTGATAGTTATTTTTGCAGCTGACCAAATTAAAGTTCCCCCCACATAAAGAGAGCAATGCCATTGTACCAAGCCTCAGTTTATTTACTGAATAATTCACTCATATTTTCTTCTAATACAGCCAGTTTTACGAATGAAGTTGGTTATGCTTCCCCAAAGTATTTCAGCAATTAGATATATCCTAAATAGCAACGGAGGAAGCTAATGTGATCTTACCGTTATTGCTTTTCGATAGCCTCATCAACAAAAGAGAAATGCACTTGAGAGCAAAACATAATAAGACAAGGGCACTTGTGGTCTGCTTTCAGTCAGTAATACAGACATAATGGCCAACTCTGTCTTATGAATCAAATCAGAGTGACACGAGTTATGGTGCTAGTGCAAACTATTGTGAAAATAGATCACACTATGTCCAGAATCTTTGTCAATTCGATTTTTCAAAGGCTACCACTCGCGAGCAACTATACAAACTTGTCTGGAACGACACACCTCTGAGAGCTGCAGGGAATATTTAATCGTAGACTTTACAGAAAGTTACAGCACTCCAAGTCAATGTTGTCGTGCAAGCGTCAGTACTTGCATTTGGGGTTCGTGTTGAAACAGAGCGGTAAGAAATGCATCTGGCGTTTGGATTTGGAGCTGAAGACATTCACCTGATCAAATCTTGTTTTTTTTCTTTGTGACTAAAACACACAAATCTATTCAACTTAGTCCTTTTTAGTTTCAGTTTTTCTTTTGCGTAACATTTAATTAGTACAAGTGTCTGGTTTTCTAACCCCGGCAGTGTCAGGTGAGCAGGTTAATTAGTATCGACTGCTGCACAGCTCCTGTTGGAGCTCAAAGTCACCAGATGATGTCAACTCCGTCATGTAATGGAAAAGAGGGGACACAAACATGACTCCACTGCTGCACAGAGTCACAGCAATGCTGTCTGAAGTGAAAACACTCAGAGAGGAAATATGCAAACTGTTTCAATTAGGCAGAAAAACACACGTGGATAAATGCGGTAAGTTGAAGATATGACAAACACACCGCCTCTCGGATTAATCCCACACCTTGCAGCTGCGATAGTTTTGGCAGACTGGCAAAATAAAGTGCACTATGTGTCAAGCTACATTAAGCTGTCGTCTGTATCTAAAAACAGCTAACAGAGTAAACAGTTCATCAGAGAAATACTTTAAATGTGGACAATAAAAGATATTTCTGACTTCTGCAGCTGCCTATAATGAATCAGTTCAGAGAAAACCCATCACAATCAAAGCTCTCAGTTTAAATCTCGAGCAATTAGGCTGGACAAATGTGTAAACAGTACCTTAAAGAGATTTACAGTTCATGAAGTCTCTAATGGGAGGAATTAAGGATGTACTTTTCAGTAAGACACTGACCAAATTGCTTTGTTAGGGGAAAAAAATGCTTTTATTTTAACAAGGAGAAACTTCCTGATAGCTCACATTAAAGCAGCTTTAATCCACCTTTACTGATAACGCTTAAAGACTTTTTAACAGCACATACTAAAAGTCACAACACTACTGAACCTGGTGTCTCTCCCTTCTTAAAAAAGGCAGTTTTGGAAACTAAAATGACCTAAAAAAAAAAAAAAACATTAATCCAATAGCAAAAGTGAATAGTTTGTTGTTGTTTTTTTTAAAGCACACAAATCGAATGTTTGTTAAATCTAAAATATTAAAATTCCATGGCACTGTAAAAATCAAACAACACAATTTATGTTTACAATTTACTAGGAAATAACTTCCAGGAACAGGCAGCATGGTGGCGCAACTGGTAGAGCTGCTGCCTCTCAGCGAGCAGGTCCCTGGTTCAAACCCTGGTCCAGGGACCTTCTGGGTGGAGTTTGCATGTTCTCTCCGTGCATGCGTGGGTTTTCTCCGGGTACTCCGGTTTCCTCCCACAGACCAAAAACATGCATGTTAGGCTTATTGGTAACTCTAAATTGTCTCTAGGTGAGAGTGAGAGTGTGAATGATTGTTTGTCTCGTTTGTCTCTATGTGGCCCTGTGATGGACTTGCGACCCGTCCAGGGTGTACCCCGCCCCTCGCACAGTGATTGCTGGACATGGGCACCAGCGACCCCCGTGACCCAAAATGGAATAAACGGGTAAAGATAATGGATGGATGGATGGAACTTCCAGGAACTGTTTTTATGAAAGTGACTGTGGATATAATTCAAAAAGAACATTAAGTCTGAACAGAATCTGAAGAAATCTGAAAAGGTTTAGCATCACCGTGACTGGAGTGAATCTACTGAACTGACTGAAAACATCAGCGACATCAGAGACTCTACTTCCTCAGGCGGCTGAGATGAGCTGGACTGGGAAGCTCAGTCCTCACCTCCTTCTACAGGTGTGCAGTGGAGAGCATCCTGTGCTCCAGCACCAACATGTGGCATGGAGGCTGCACAGCTGCAGAAAGAAAAGCTTTGCAGAGAGTGGTGAAGGCTGCACAGAAGACTGTTGGTCAGTCTCCCCATCATCACAGGAAGAGGGCCACCTGCATCATGAAGGACCCCACTCACCCAGCACACACACTTTTTGCCCCACTCCCCTCAGGAAGGAGGTTAAGGAGCATTAAGTGTTGAACCACTAGACTGAGGAACAGCTTCTACCCTGAGGCTGTTAGACTCATGAATCTCTAACCAGGATAATCACTGTAATGACACTTTGTTTGGTGATATGTGACTTATCTGGGTTGCTGATTATCCATGCTGCTGATCTCATGCTGCTGATTATCTCATGTTGCTGTATTCATTCATACCCATCTGCTCACTACAGACTCATGTTAGGGCCGCTGTTGTTACGCTGTATATACATTATTAGTGTTTAGTGTATATCAGATTCTTACATACAGTTTCTTTTTATACTTTATATTTTTGCTATTTCAAGGATTCAAGGTTCTTTATTGTCATTCACACCACATGTGGTACATGAGGTGGAACAAAATTGTGTACACAGGGTCCCAGTTACATCCAACAACAGCAAAAGTATAAAGTGTAAAAAGAAACAGTAAATAAGGATCTAAGCTATAAACTTAGATATACACTAAACAAACACCAAACAGGACATTAAAAGATCTAAGATATAAGCTTAACACTAACAGTGCAAAACAATACACCTAACAACAGCAGCACGATTCTCATAGGTTCAGTTCGGCTATAATGTACACGCTCAATGCTTAATTTCTGGGTGTAACTGGAACACTGAGTACACAGTTTCGTTTCACCTTATGTACCACATGTGATGCGAATTACAATAAACTTGAACAATGAACTTAGACAATGTCCAAAGAATATCAGATATATATATATATATATATATATATATATATATATATATATATATAACATATAAATAAATGTATGCATTTATTTGTTTGTTTGTTTATTTTTGTTTGTTGTAAGGATGTTTTATCTGTTAAAAAATATATTAACAGTATGTGCCAATTTCCTAGCAGGCATTTTAACTCAGAACAGCAGAGAAAATGTCTGAAGGGAGGCTCATTTTATTAAGGTAACTTCTGCTTGTTAACATTTTTTACAAAATATCCAGCAGCTGCAGAAACACACCCAACTCTTTCAAGTCAAAATGTCTGCAGGGAAATGGGCTTTTTGCTGCGATGATGCAAAGCATCATCAGGTTTACTTTTGCTACACATTAATAATAAAAAAAAATCCCAAAAGTCAACATTTTTGTATCCTTTGGCTTTAAAAGAAAATTCAACAAAAATATATTCAAAATTAATTAAATTCTAAAAAAAAAACATTCACATCTTGTAAAATATTAGATGACGTAAACCAAAATATGCTTTGATTCTCACCTAAGGTTGTTTCTGTCATGTTTAACATCAGAACATATTTTTAGATGCATGCAGACACAGCAGTGCACGCTCACCTTCATAGAAGATCTTGAAGCCACTATTTGAGCGACTGTTGTCAGTGGTGAACAGCAGATACAGGAAGTTGCTGCTGCTGAACAGGAACTGAGGCACCTGAGTGCCATTAAATGAACCAATCAGAGGCGAGAGCAGGTTCGGGCCGTCGTGCACTTCCAGGAAATCATAACTGAGCTCTGTTTGAAATCTTAAAAAGGAAAAACAAAAAAATACAGATTATTATTTGTTTTCAAAAATAAAGCTCTAGTTTAGTGGAGGAAACATACAATTTGTGAAGAAAGATGAGAAGACGAGTCACACTGCAATCATGTTAATTATTGCAGGAGCCTGAGATGAATGAACGTCTTGGAGATATGACGTGATGTGAATCTGAGGCTAGCCTTTGGTCTCTTACATCAAACGACTGCCATTAGCACAGTTTCAACAAAACTAATCAATATTATTGAAATTAAAAAATCACTTCCGACAACTTCACATTGGCAAACTCTGCTGTGGCACATCATTAATAGTGTGTGCATTTCCTTTTCACAAAGCATTAAGTAGGTGTAGGAAAACACAAGATCAGTTTTAGTTAGTGAGATAAAGTTTTATATAAACAACCAACAAAAAGAGCACAGAAAAATCCTTAGCAAATCAAAAGCAAAAAGGGTCAAACATACGGCACATTATACGCAGGCTGACAAACTATCATACAGCAATATATTCAGAATTATTTGTCTGGGTTTCTCTCCTGGACCTACCATGACCCGAACATGACTAAGAGGTAGAAGATGGATGAACATAAAACACTGGCTAATTATTTTTTCACTCAATTATTAGTTTTTTTATTTATCTCTCCTTTATCTTTAGTGTATGTTGTACTTTTGTCAGGGTCTGTTTGTGTTAATAACTTCGTAAATTCTTATCTGGCGATCCGACTGACACAGCGTCTTTGTGTAATCCCGCTCATTTTTTTGTTTATTACCCCCAAACATTTAACCTTGATTTTTGACCTTGAAGATGGAATGATGAAAAATGACATTCTTTCTAGCAGTGGTACACGTTTGTATCAAGTTTCCTTAAATTATCCAGCAGATAAGAAGTTGTAGAGTATATGTGTCAAACTCAATGTGGCCCTCGTTGTCATCTTATCTGGCCCCCAAGATGATATGTGAAACGTTAAATACTTATATTTCTTGATGTTTTTTCAGTAATCCTTGATTATGATGTTGAAAGCACAACAGAGAACATCGAATGAGACCAATCAAACTCTTGTTGAGGAACCTGTGACCTAGAAAAGATGTTGGGTATTTGATTTGAGTTAATGTAGTTTCTGAAATCAGCCTTTAGTTTAAAAAAGGTTTTAGTGTTATCCCCCTTTTGTAAGTGAGTTTGACACCCCTGTTGTAGAGGAAGAAGCAAAGACCTTGTTTCAACTTTGACTTTGTTTTGTGACCTTAAAGCTGAGGGGCTGAAAAGGGTTTAAGACCCTCGGTCTAGAGATACTGCATGTGTGCATGACGTTTTGTTCAAATATCTAGAGCAGACCAAAAGTAATGGCCTGGAAAAGCAAATACCTTGTATAACATTTGACCTTGATTTCTGATCTTGACACTGTGGTGAGGAAAAGATTATATAACATGCTGTCTAGTGGTGGTAGAAATTTGCATCAATCTGTAAATTATCTTAAACATATCGGCCAGAAAACAAAACAAGTACATTGTGTTAATGTTGACTTTATTTATGACCTTGACCTCGATTGATAAAATATGTATGGGACACTCCGTTTAGGGATGATGCATAAGTGTAAGAAGTTGTTTTTACATCATCTTGAGAAGATCAGAAGTTATGGTCCAAACAAACAAAGACCTTCCTTTGACTTTGACCTTGATTTTTTAATTTTGACCTTGAAGCTGGGGTGATGAAATATGTTTGCAACACTCAGTCTATTGATACGTGTATGGATGTTGATTAAATTATCTTGAGCAGCTCAGAAGTTCTGTGTGGGACAGGAATAAAGTCTCCGGGCGAGTCGACCCAGACTTTTACTTTTGCCTTCAGCGAGAACATAAAAAATAATAATTGTGCCGTTTTCACAGGAAGTTTTCAACACGTCAACTGGACAGACTTTAAACTGACTCTTTTAAAATTCTGAAGTTTATATAAAAAAAAAGTGTTTGTGTACTTGTAAAGTACGTGTATATGTGCACGAGTACTTACAATACTTGTGTGAAGCTGTGTGTCTGTGTGTGTTGTCCTCTGTGCGTGCGCTCAGCTTGTGTGTGTCTTTGTTTTCACGGCTGAGTTGTTCCAGTAGTGTCATACAGACCTGTCAAAGCTAATCTTGATGGAGCGTCCCAGCTCAGCCTCAATGACCCACTCACAACTCAGGGAGTCCTTGTAGTAGCCTGGCCACCCCGGGGAGAGAATGACACCAGATGGCCCTGAGTAGTGCCCCCCACAAGGAGCTGGAGGAGGAGAAAAGATAGATTTGTTTTAAATGATGGAAAACACTGAGAGCAAAGAAGAAGGAAAAATACTTTCAAGACAATAGAGGATTTTTGTACTCCCATGACAAAACAGAAAGACAAATTAAAGAAACAAAAGGCAGGAAGCCTGCAGGATGAGTGAGCACAGTACTACAGTTACACACGATGAATAAAATGTGATGTGCTGTTTTGGTAAGATGCACGCTCTAAACCAGGGATGCCCAGTACGTTGATTGTAATCTACCGGTCATCGCAAAGGTAGATTGCATGGCATTAAAAAAAAAAACAACAGATGTCAGCCTATCATCCATCCTCACCATGAAATTTGTCACTTGACACAGGACAGTCAGTCTGAGGCCCCGTTTACACGACGTGAAACTGCATCAGAAAAGTTTGTCCGTTCATTTACAGACAACAGTTTACACGGCGCATAGTTTGAGTGAAACCGCACCTTTCTCTCTTCGGTTCAGCTGTTCATTAACACAACACCAGTCCCCCCCCCCCCCAACACTACAGATGTATATTTCACGCACGCACAGACTCAAGGCATTTTTCTATCAACAACAATAGTGGCAGACAAACGTACTGCTTTCTGCGCTATGATTGATGGAATATATTTTGGGTCTCATAGTTAATAAACGCCAGAATGTAGCTGCTGTGACGGACATCTGTGTTGGGAAGAGACGCCAGTCAGATCCAGCTCTGGTATCACTATGTATTGAATGAGGCAGGTGAATATTTCACGCATGGTGCTGGAGTATAACATACAAACTGTGCTAAATAATATCAATTTAAGAATAATAAACAGCATTTGTGTTAGTGGTGGGAGATGTAATGAAGCTACCTGTGATAAATGAAGCTTTCTGGACATAATGAAATTCAAGTTATGCGATTTAAACGATGATGTGAAACTTATTGCATGTTATTAAAGTTGAAAATGAAGACATCATATTTAATTTTTATTTATTTATTCAACACTACTGTTGAATGCGCAATCGAACTCTGATGCGGACCAAAAAAACGAACTCTGCTCCGCCTAAGGTCGTTTTCACATCTGATAGTCCGGTAGACTCGGTCCGATCGGGGACCAAAATTTGGAACATTTGTTTACATTTTCAACTGGTGCGTGTCACGATGCACACTTTAATCTTTGCTAAAACACTCTTTTCACTGCTTGGTTTCTAGTTTTCTCTACGTTCATTTGGTTTCTGTCAGCTCTGCTTCCTATCTGCAGCTTTCTGTCTGTCTCACCTCCTCTCACTGCAGCTCCTTAGTGTTCATGGGAAACACCTGTGCTCTGGTGCTTAAAAGCTTCTCTCCCTCATAGTCTGGTGCCAGTTGAAGTATGGTCCAATAAATGGGGTTTTAAGTTTTCAAGTACAAAATCTCAGGTTATCTGCTTTTCTAAAAAACATAAAACTATTTCTTTAAAACTATATGATCAAAACCTTGAACAGGTCAAAGATATAAGATCTTTCCAAAACTTACTTGGAAGCAACATATTGATAAAGTTAGAATAAAATGTAAAAATGTTAATAATATAATACGTTGTTTGGCAGGAAGGGAATGGGGAGCAACTAGGAAATCCTTATTAAATATATATCAATCTCTTATGACATCAGCAATGGATTGTGGCAGCATCAGTTATTTGGCAGCAGCAGAAACAAATGTAAAGTTTCTTGATATAGAACAATCAAAAGCACTCAGAATATGCAGTGGAGCTTTTAGAACGTCACCAATTGCAGCTTTACAGGTAGAAATGGGGGAAATGCCTTTAAGACTCAGAAGATTACAACAAATGTTGGTATATTGGGTTACTGTTAAAGGACAGAGTCAATCTCATCCTATTCATAAAATATTACAAGAAAGTTGGGAGCATCAAAAAACGGATATCTATAGTTTTGGCTGGATAGGGAATATAAAAGCTGAGTATGTAGGATTACATGAAATAAACATATGTCCTACAGTTGTTCTTCCTAACATCCCACATTGGCTATTTACTAACCCCTCTGTTGATCTATCTTTACACCAATTAATTAAAAATAAAGGAAAGCATACCTCAGAACATTTATTAGTGCAACAATTAATCAATAAACAATATAGGAATGAGATTATAATATTTACAGATGGCTCGAAAGATCCCGAGTCAGGACGTACTGGAGCAGCAATATACATTCCAAACCAAAATATAGAGATAAAGAAAAGAACAACCGATAGTTTGACAGTGTACTCAGTAGAATTATTAGCTATACTTATGGGTTTAGAGTGGATAGAAAAACATTATGATAAAAAATATGTAATAGCATCAGATAACATGGCAGATTTATTAAGCATCAATTCAAATAACTCAAAAAGAAAAGACATAATTGTCAGGATCCACCACATTTTATATACACTTGACATGAGGCAGATATTTGTAGACTTTATTTGGGTTCCAGCACATGTGGGAGTGGAGGGTAATGAAGGTGCAGACAATTTAGCAAAACAGGCAGTAAAATTTTAAAAATATTAATTAGGACATACCACTATGTAAAGACGAATGTAAAATGATAATAAATGCATATATTAAGAAAATATGGCAGGAGAGCTGGGACATAACTGACACAGAAAGACATTTACATAACATACAGGAAAAAGTAGGTTATACAAGGAAAACGGGAAGTAACAGGAAATTAGAATCAATAATTACTCGAATTAGAATAGGACACACTGGACTTAATAAATCTCTGAAAATAATTGGTAAACGTGCAACGGGACTATGTGACAAATGCACCAGCAATCTTCCTGAAACTGTTCAACATGTCATTATGGAATGTCCTGCATATAACGCAGAAAGAAAGCTTTGCCAAAAAGAAATAAATAAAATGAATATAAAATTTACAATTAAGGATGTTTTTAGTAGTCCATCCATCCATCCATCCATCCATTATCCTTACCCGCTTATTCCATTTTGGGTCATCGGGGTCGCCGGTGCCCATGTCCAGCAATCATTGTGCGAGAGGCGGGGTACACCCTGGACGGGTCGCAAGTCCATCACAGGGCCACATAGAGACAAACGAGACAAACAACCATTCACTCTCTCACTCACACCTAGGGACAATTTAGAGTTACCAATCAGTCTAACATGCATGTTTTTGGTCTGTGGGAGGAAACCAGAGCACTCGGAGAAAACCCATGCATGCACGGAGAGAACATGCAAACTCCACCCAGAAAGGCCCCTGGACCGGGGTTTGAACCAAGGACCTGCTCGCTGAGAGGCAGCAGCTCTACCAGTTGCGCCTCCATGCTGCCTTGTTTTTAGTAGTAACATCAGTAAAGTTTAAAAACAAAATTAGTATTTTCTTAAAAAATACAAATTTAATGGAAAGAATTTAGATGAGTTGCTAAATTAATTTCACAGAATTAGTTTTTTTTTTTTTTAAATCTCTTGTCCACACTCCAGCTCAGTAGGTGGCGGTAATACACCTTACGTTGGTCTGCCAACCACCAAAAAACAAAACAAGAAGAAGAAGTCTGGTGCCAGAATATCGAAAGCCTTTGGTGAGTAGTCTTCCAGCGTTTCTCTCTTGTGTCCTGATCCTGTTCAGTCTCCTGCCTGTCCCTCGACCTCTGATTTTTGTCTTACCCTTTTGTACCTCTGCTCATTTGCCTTTTTGCTGCCGTTATCTGCTTGTTTTTGGACTCCGAGTTTTGCCGTGTTCTTTGGTACTGTCGCCTTTATCGGATCATGTTGCTGACCTTGTTTCTGCCCACGACTTCTGCTTCTGGATCGTCCACCCAAGACCACCGACGTACACCGCCCCTCGGTGACGTCTCAGCGCTGTTCAGCGCTGTGCCTCCGGCCCACTGAGACTTACAAGATCTAGCTTCAGCTGCTTGTCTACCAACACCAGCGAAGAGTGGCAGCTCTTTACTTATTTAAAAAAAAAACTTTTAAACCGTTCTGGATTCTTGTGTTTCTGATCCAACCTCAGTCATTACAGGTGTGGTTCACATTCACACTGAACAGAGACAATAGGGCCAACCTGTTCCCGCCCTCACCTGTGGTGGCACTGCACTAAGAACTACTGAAGAAAACAACACTAAAACCTCTGAAGAAGACTCTTCTATTTATTCTGGAAATAAACACAAAAATGGAGTAGTGTCAAATTTTAGCTGTTTTAGGATTTCTGATTTTTCTGTGTCACATGTACCAAACAAACATTTTTCAACAATGGACTCAGCATGAACGGAAGATGAGGCAGAAGACCATGGAGAATGTTGTTTTTTACACAAGGCAGCTGACGGCTCCGTATGAGGTATGAGAAATAGGCATTTGGTTTGGTTGTATTTACCCAGAATGCCCTGCGTTGTAGTCCACTTCCTGCTTTTTGCATTCACAATGCATTCGAACCGTGCTAGAGTTCACTTTAACCGAACTGAGACCTAGGTATTTAGGCGGACCAGAGTTCGCTTTTTAAGTCCGCATCAGAGTTCGATTGCGCCTTCACACCTCCCCAAACGAACCGGACATTGTAGGCAAACAGTCTAGAGTTTGATTAAAGTGGACTAAACAGGGCTGGTGTGAATCCACCCTAAATACCTATGTCCCGGTTCGGTTGAAGTGAAGTCTAGTGTGGTTTGAATGCAGTGTGAATGCAAGCAGACTGGAGACCACTCCAAAAGCAGGAAGTAGACTACAGTGCAGGGCATTCTGGGTAAATACAACCAAACCAAATGTGCATTTCTCTTACCTCATACGGAGCCGTCAGCCACCTTGTGTGAAAAACAACATTCTCCATGGTCTTCTGCCTCATCTTCCGCTCATATTTCATTTACTTTATTTATACAGGTAGTCTCATTGAGCCATGAGAACTCATTTTCAAGAGTGACCTGTTTAGGGAGCAGATGGTGGGGTTCAGTGGTGGAGAAAGTACTCAAACACTGTACTTAAGTAAAAGTACAAATAAACAGACAAAAATGTACTCTAGTAAAAGTAGAAGTACCACATTAACATTTTTACTTAAGTAAAAGTAAATAAGTACTTGCTTTTGAAATACTTAAAGTATTAAAAGTAAAAGTACTTGCTGAATGTATTACCTAATGTAATGGTCTACATATCTTTAAGTCTGCATACCATATGTATATTTTCTATAATACATTAATAGTGTTGTTCCATTTTAATGAACAATGCTGCAGATAATACATGTTTTTATTGTGTTTACTCTGCGACACAGTTCACACTTGGACTTGTGATTCTGTGCGTCAGAATTTCAGGGATGACCTGCAGAGTTAAATGCCATTAATCAAAATAAGAAAGAGGAATGATTTTACATTTGAAAGTTTTTATTTAATACAAATCACAACCAATGTGTCATTTTAACTGCAGTAAACACATTTAAGTAAAAGTTGTCTGCCTGAAAAAAGGAGCATTAGACACAACTAACAAAGGAACAGGCTCTGATAATTTCCACTGATATTTCAACTTCAGTTTGTCATCAACACTAGTTAAAATACTGTCTATTCAACATTGTAATGGATCAATATTGAACAATATTTTAACTTCCTGACACCATTTTTAAAACTTGGACCTGAGTGTCGAGACATTTGGAGACATGTCTTGTCTCCTAACATCCCATGAACTGACACATTTTAATATTGAGGCAAGAATTTCTTGTTCAAGTTCAGAAGAAGTTGGTTTACAAAGATTTTTGAGTCCAATCTGGCTCTTTTGGGAGAGAGAATCTGTCCTGTTGTACTGAGCAGTCTTTAAATAAGGCCATGGGTGGTGCATATCTTCTAGATGACTCTCTTGCGGTAGAATACATTTTGTATGTGTTAGCGGTGCTGCGGGTGCACCCAGCTCAGTTACATATATACTAGAATATATGTAATTGGCCCAGCTCTTCTTGAAGGTGGGCCTAACGTTACCTGCCCACTTTGCAGTGAATCAGTGGACCAGCTCCTCTCTCACCATTAGTTACATTCAAAGTAACAAACAAATCAAAAAGCCGCAACATGAATGTAACTTGTAATGCAATGCATTATATAAAATGTAGTGTAGTAGAAAGTACAGATACTTGATGTAAAATGTAGTGGAGTAAAAGTATAAAGTACCCACATTTAACTCTACTTAAGTAAAGTACAGATACACAAAAAATGTACTTAAGTACAGTAACAAAGTATTTGTACTTAGTTACATCCCACCACTGGTGGGGTTTAAGGGCCTTGCTTTGGGGCCCAGAGTGGGGTGAATGAGAGTGGATGCAGGTGTGGGTGTTCCACCTTTTCCACCCACATTTTGATGTTGATGGTACCGGGAGTTGAACCTGCAACTTTCCGATCACAGGCCCATCTTCTAACCTCTGTTGAGACCATTGCTGAAAAATGTTTGTTTGGCACATGTTCCACAGAAAAAACAGAAATCCTAAAACCACTAAAATTTGACGCCACTCCATTTTTGTTTTTATTTCCAGAAGAAGAAGAAGAAGAAGAAGAAGTGTCTTCCTCAGAGATTTTGGTGTTGTTTCCTTCGGTAGTTCTTGGTGCAGCGCCACCATAGGTGAGGGGGGGAACAGGTTGGTTCAACTGACTCCGTTCAGTTTGAATGAAAACCGCACCAGCTTAAAATGTAACAAATGTTCCGAATTTTGGTCCCCAATTGAACCGGGTATGCCGGACTATAAGATGTGAAAACGACCTGAATCCAGGTCTCAGCAGCTATGTTTACATGCACAAAACTCTTTGATCAGACTAAAATGTATTCAGATAAACTAATCCAAATGTATCATTTACATGGGTACAATCCGTTCACGACGAGCGTTACATGCAGCGGGCTTTTGTTCAGAGTAGAAGTACTGACATGCGCAGAGTGGTAAACTCTCCTTAAAAAACCCAGAAGAAGAGGAAGTTCTACTTTTGTGATGAATGTAAACAAACCTGAGCACCCAAAATGGACCCACGACAGGTTTTAATGAAGGTGGAGACATTACTGCGCTCCCTGATTGAGCTACAGGTAATACAGATCATTTTGAGCTCTTTCAAAGTTTCTAGTAGAAATGTTGTCGCTCACCAACCAGTTTTGCTTCCCCAACATATTAGCATCTAGCCAGGCCGGAAAACGTGAGGTTGACATAGGTCGCACATGTGCAGTCAGGTCAGTTTTCCACGATTGGAATAAAATGATCAAATTAATTGTTTATATGCACACCGTTAGGATTATGAATCAGCATAAATACCCCTCTCATTCGGATTACAAATTAATTCGGATCGAGCTGAATCAACAAAGATTAATTCGAATGGGGCGTTTACATGACGCATTTTTATTCTGAATGGCCGTTTAATCCATTTACTTATGTCCATGTACAAAGTAAATAGCTAGAGTGGAGCTTTTTGGGGGAACTACCCACAGAGGTGGGAAATGTTCCGCAAGTGTGAAGTCGTGTGCACTACAGGAGGCTGCAGTCCAAAGTTTTTCTGCACAAACAACAGTTACTGTATAATAAGAGAGCAGAGTGTTTTTGTGCTACACGCCATTTTTCAGCATGTAGGAGCAAAACTAATAAAATCCAGGGTCCAAAGAGACGTTAGTGTATTCACTAGTTTGGACAACTGTCATGCAGATGCTGCATGTGCGATGAATGCGGCTGAGCCCAGCATCAGGGTTGCCAGATAAATTTAAAAATGCCTTAATTACCCCTCTGTTTCTGTGCACATGTTCAACAAACACAACACACACCTCATCTTAGAATAGCTTTACTCAGCACATAAAACAGTTCAGGTCAAAATACTATAATTTTAAAGCAACAGCACTATAGTTCATAATGTCTTGTCTGGCAACCTGACAGACATGGAAACTAGAGCATAAACCTGCTCATTTATTGTTTATTACTCCCAGTAAGCATAGAAAGAAAACTCTCAAATGGGGCCTTATAGTAGATCACTTCGACTGGTCATTTCGCATGCTGAAAAATGTGAGTGTCACTGCTCTAACCCAATCTAACCCATTCTTTTTATCCTATTTAAACTCTTGACTTTTCTTCAACCCACATTTGCTCAAATATCATGCATTCCATTTCACCTTACCTTCACATTTGGGAATGAGTCCGCTCCACATCACCTTCGCCTCTTCTAGATGGCATGCGATGGTGTCGGCTCCTTGTGTCTTGATGAAGCCTTCCTCACAGACCACAGAGATGGAGCTGCCCAACTGGAAATTGTCCCCAAAGCGCCGGCCGTTCAAAGGTATGCCGGGGTCGGGGCACTCGTTATGCCCAAACGCTAGTGACAAAAAGAGAGGGAAACAAGATCTTATGTCAAACACAGTGAAGAATCGGGGTTTGTGAGTGAGAAATTACAAATAGCTTTCAATACCATCTTAAAAACTGTTTTAGGGTTTGTTGTGAGCAGAACATACGAATAAATAAATAAATATAAATAACTGCAATGGATTTGTTTTATGCATGAAAAGAAAGCTGAAAACAACATCCCTTTATTTACTGGTCCAACCAGAGTTTGTCAGTTTTAAAGACAACCACTGAAGCGTTATAGCAGTGTGTCCAAACCAATTTGTTCACTGCATACTTTTATTACTCAGCAGTAATCCAGCAATATCTTGTTCAGTTCATCTGTGAAATCTTTTGGGGTATGCTGCATTCAGATTTGTGTAAAGACGGGGAAAGACCAAATGAAATGTATCCCTTTCTATTCACAAAAACATCTTCATAACTAAATTTAGTTCTAGTTGGGTGGCACGGTGGCTCAGCTGGTAGAGCTGGCACCTCTCAGCGAGCAGGTCACCCTTCTGGGTGGAGTTTGCATGTTCTCTCCCTGCATGCGTGGGTTTTCTCCAGGTACTTCGGTTTCCTCCCACAGACAAAAAACATGTATGTTAGACTGACTGGTAACTCTAATTGTCCCTAGGTGTGAGTGAGAGAGTGAATGGTTGTTTATCTCTATGTGTCCCTGTGATGGACTGGAAACCAGTCCAGGGTGTCCCCCACCTCTCACACAGTGACTGTAAGATATGGGCATCAGTGACACCCCGTAACCCAAAAAGGAAGAATCAGGTAAAAGATAATGGTAAATAACTGTATATGAGTCCTTGAGGCTCAATGAGCTTGACCTGTATAAATAAAGGTTGAAAGAAATGGATAGATGGATAGTTCTAGTTAAAAATATATTTCAGGTGTTTTAAATAAGAGTTTAATCAAAAAATTTAAGACAAAATGAATATCTTAATTGTTTCAGACATAATTATGAGCAGATAATCATAATTTTAAGATGGCAGTAATCAGTTTTGCTAATGGACAGGGATTGGACTACCAGTTAGCACATACATGTGATGAAAACTGATGAAAACTGATCAGTAATTTTCCAAACTGAGGTTGTTCAAAAAGCTGTCTGGAACAGGTACGATCAAAACTGTTCATAGCCTTTCCAAATAAATAAATAAAACAAATGTATATTATCCTATTAAATGTGTAGTATTAGTCTAAAACTTAAACACTAACTGCCATTTGAATATTTGACTGAAGTAAACAACTTTAGAAATTGCAACTTTTGGCTGATCCAAATAGTTAAACCTATTTTTTTTTTTTTTTTTTTTTTTTTTTGATAGGCATGGTTTGGACCTCCATTAATTCTTCATCATTTGGACAAGTAAGAGGTCTTAAGTTGCATTTGCATTTCAAAGCTATGATGAACCTAAAATTGTTGTTGAGGCCAAAATAACTCTGTCTATTCTGAGAAATAAAAAACACCCTGGTGAGGTTGGCAACATAAAAAAGCCTGGGTGTCTATGAAAGACAACAGGATCTGCTACAGAAGAAAAAAAAAGCCCTCCACAACACCCAGCCAAAAGCAGAATATGCTCCAGGGGGTAGTCATATATCATTATTCAAGTCTTCTATAAAAAGGAAACTTCACAAGAAAAACCAAAGTGAATTCATCACAAGGTACAAACTATTCATGAGCTCTGAGCCTTTAGAAAGCCTGGATCAGACTTTGCCCAAAAACACCTCAAACAGCTGAATCTGTTCTGGAAAAGAATTTATTGAACAGATGAAACTAAAACCTACTTCTACCTAAACATCCAGAAATTAAGCACAGACATGTCTTAGGAGGTTGACGATTCAAAGCAAAAATACATCATTTGTAAAAGACATTAAAGCAGTTGAATAGTATGAAGGTTTTAAATAATGGTGGCACTGCATCCCAGTGTTCACTGACAATGTAACATCAGACAAAAACAGGGGCATATTCAACTTTATTCATTATAATTATTAACAATATACAAATTGTATATGTTTTCCTTTTACCAGTACTTTTCTGGTAAACTCCTTTGAAAAGAAAACACATAAATTTACAAACAACATGCCAATGTCTGCCATCGCTGAGGAATTTGAACAGCAAATGTCTAAATTTCGAGCTTGGTGTTTATTTGGACTGGAATTAAACTGGGATTGCAAGTAAACCTTAATGTTTTTGGTGCAAGATAGGGGTTCCACTGAGGAGAAGAACAGAGGTGGAGCAACGCAGAATGACTAATCCTGGAGAGTGGACAGAAACGTTTCATCCACGACCAGGCGCAAAGGCGGGGCCAGGGGGTGGACAATGGTGGCTTGGGCCATTAGTCTTTCTACCACCACAATCATTAATAAATAAATAAATACTTTTAAGCAATATA